CAGATGAAACGCTACCACTCATGAGCTCAGCAAATATGGTGATCTTGAATGATGAGTCCCTGTGAGAGCTAAATGCACCATGCGTTCTCCCCATTAGCAATTACTGAGCAGGATCTGTTTCTCCCCTGCACTTGCTTTCTCCTCCCTGCCCCCATGAGCTTGGGAAGCTGCAGTGTGTGACCATTTGAGCATATGCCAATCTCTTCAAAGATTCTCTGTAATCCCCTATGCTAATCCTCCTGGAAGAGGAAGGATGCTCGTAGGCAGCACTTGCAGATCCACACCCTGAATATTAAGCTTGTTATAACACCTGGCCTGTCCTTGCATCTGCTGACTTGTTTCCAAGTTTTGGAAATTGTTGTGCATAAGTTCCTCCTTACTTTGAAATGTTCAGGTAAAAGTAATATTTGTTTCACGTATGAGAATAAATGGCAGCATCCAGGGACAGCCATCATTAGTCACTGCACTAACAGTGCTGAACATGAGAGGCCACATTTTTGAAGTGACCTCTAAAGCTGCACAAGTCTGCAGTTACAGCAAAAGTAGGTGGTTTGATCCATGTGTCCAAACACTGACCATGAGCCTCATGTCAAGGATTCACCTTAATGGAAACACTGGGGCCCCAAGAGAGGAGAGGAAGTTCCCTGGACCGGTGCAAAATGAGGTACATTTAAGACATGCCCACATGATAAATCCAAGGGGAACTTTAGCACAAGCTGGAACAGGCAGTTGGCACAGGACTTCTGTGTTTCTCTAGAGCTTCCCAAGTAGTGCAAGTGCTGAGAGCATGGCAAGGTCTGTGCTGTTTCAGCTCCCTTGTGTGGCATTTCAAGCAGACATCAATTAGAAATCAATAGCATGCTTTTAAAGGAAACCACAGGCTCTTCTGTGCTTCCTGGCAAAGAACAAGGAGCCCTGTGCTGGAAGGGTCTCCACATCTGTGGCAAGCAGGGCACTGGCACAGCTAAGAACAAGCAGGGGCAGAGTCACCTGCCAGAAATTGCCATTTTCACAGTCATGGCCACATTTTAGCTTAGCTGGTTTCCTTCTCAGCAGTATTTGGGACAAAAGTATGGAAAAGGCTTTAATTCTTCACAGGGATTATGTTTAATCACAACAGGTGTTAATGAAAAAAAATAATTAAATAAATAATGATGCCCACCAGACCATTAACAACGAAGGAGGAAAAGGCAAGGGACAAACCTTGGCTCCAAGCAGGTGGCAGGCACTAGCTTGTTGGAAAGCTCACAGCAAGGGAAGGGCAGAGAAGGGAGCAGGCAAAGAATCAAAGGTTGCAGGGCAGAAACTGTGAAGGGCTTAAAGAAAAAAAACCCATGAAGGCTTCAAAATACACGTTAAAACTTGAGTGTGGAAGAGGGCATTGGATTTACTTCTGGTTGTTTAACAGTGAACTCCTAGCTCCATCAAGTGAGAACACCATGCTTTATCTTTAACGATGAGAATGATACCAGCCTGATTAAACTGATCTAAATCTGATGAATCCATGAGAGATCACAGAGAGATACAGAGAGAAGAATCAATAAGGCATTAATAGATGCTAGAGCTGCTGCCTGTAAATCAATTTGGAATTGTCCGGTGCACTGCAGTTCATAAAATACACCACAGGCTGTAATTGTGAACTGGACTAAGTTACAAAGGAATAAACATCCAGGAGCTAAAGAGTTGCAGCAGGCTCTGAGTGCTACACAGCTGAAGCAATAAATCAGCTGCACTCCCCCAGCAGAGAAAGCATTGAGGTCTGGGCATTCTCTGAGTTCTCTGCTTGCCATCAGCTCCACACCGGCACTTTTGGATGAGCTGGAGGGCAACAAAATCAGAACTTGGACAGCAAAAGGTGAAAACTAAACTCTTGTCAGCGGTCTGGTAAAGGCAATTTTGGAAAATATGCCTATGGCATAAATGATACTTCTATAAATTGATTCTTATGTGCTAGAGAAGCTCACCTCATGTCCCTGCAGATAAAAAGGCTGGTTCAGCTGAATCGAGGCTACAGATTTTGAATGTGGCATCTTTGCTGAAGTCTAAGGTAAAAGAGAATAAAGCAAACAGTGACCAAAAAAGAATGAAATTTAAGCATCTGAAATTCAAGCTTCATCTTCACCAAATCTCTCGCATTTTGGCAGAGTGACACTGATGCTACCACCCTGGATATCAGAACTCCTTCCCTGGAGAAAATGAGGTTGACATACGGGCTCCAGGGGCAAGGGAGAGGAGGTGGCAACTGCCAGAGCTGCTCTGAGGTGAGTACAGTCAATCTCAGCACCAGGGTGGGACCCCCAACCTTCCTGTTCAACATCCCCTGCTCCTGCAGTCCAAGGTCTGAATGTTAATGGAGCACCTGCAGTTCAAACTGCCCTAGGGATCTGCATGGCATCTGTCCTGGGAGAGTCATTCCCTGCTGCACGTCAGACTGTGGTCTGCCAGGTGCTGGCTGCTTACTCCATATCCTTCACAAAGATGCACAGATCTTTGTTGTAAATTTGCCGAACCTGTTGGGATGGACCCAGCAAAAATCTGTCACAGTTGAAGGTCAAGAGCTGTCTTTTCTATCTCCCAGGCCTGCATGGGCTGTCTGGGCCCACAAGCCAGACTGCTTCCATTTTGGCTTTTGGGTAGTCCCATGAGGCTTCTATTCATTCTACAGCTTGTTTTGCCTGGCTCCATGGCCCTTTTCCCACCCAGAAATGTGCATGCTGAATGTGGTAATGATTGAGAAAACTGTTACAAAGCTTATTTATTTCTCTTTACCCAAAACATGTTTTAAAAAATTAATAAATTGAGCTTTCACTTTTTTTTCTCTTGTTTCTAGGGAGAACAGTGAACACAATAAAATTGTTAAGTAGTGCTTTGAATCTAAAGAATAGAAGGAATGCTAAATATTTAAAATGTCTTTCTTTCATGTTAGAGAGAAAATCAGTATATTTCTAAATAAATATCTGGCTGCAGAAAGGCTGCAAGGTTTTTTAGTAGTGGAGGAAAAAACTAACACTAGCCATGGAATGCTCCTCCCTGTGTCAGCTGTGTGGGGAAGGGTTTTGCTGCTCAGGAGGAGCTTCCCACTCCTCCTGCACATCCATTAGGAAGATTTAGGCCTTAAGAGCAGTGCAATTTCAGTGTGGTTTCAACCTGCACTCTTGGAGGTACCAAGTGACTTTGTTGGGTTGGGATCATCCAACCTAGGTTAAGCTTTGTGCCCCAGGGTATGCTCTTGAACTAGGTGGTTCCTGATGTGCCAACAGCTGGAGTATCTAGCAATATAAATTCCATCTGAAGGAAGGCACAAGGTGGTAGGTACATTTGAGTTCTCCAGAAGGTCTGGAGAACTGTATGGTCTTTATGATGGCTTAATGTATACACCAATTCCCTGTTGTACCTTCTGCTTGTCCAGCAGTTCAGGAGTTCTGCTGCACTGTGAGGATATTTGGGGCTGATTTCCATAGAGACTTTCTCCATAGATCAGAAAGAGCATCTACAAAAGCACTACGGTACTTGCCATGGATTGCAGCTCTGCAAAGGCACTGCACTGTACTCAAGTACCCCTGCTGCAGAACGCTGCAGTGAGGCACCATTCCTGCCTCAGGAAATGCAGCTGTGGAGTTTCCTCTCTCCTTCTCAGAAGAGACTGAGAGTGTTAAATTTACATTATTGTTACATTTACATTATTAACCAGGTGTTAATGTTTGATGACAAAGTCACAGCACTGTTGGCAGCAGCAGCACAGTGCCAGGCGCTGGAGAAGAGGGTGTGCCACAGACTGGAGACAACAGCTGGGAAAGAGTTTTAGCTCAGACTGTGACAATCCCACTCTTTGCTTGATGGGAAGCCAACCTAAGTGTGGTTTTGCCTGAAAGGAAAAGCGGTGCTATGAACTTTTGTAAGCCGTTGATCTTTTTCTCCCATCCAGTCAGTTTGCTCCTGGAAAGTCTGTAGCCATGATTGTTCCATGACAACAGGAAATGGGGTTTTTTAGAGGAAAAGAAGCCCCTAAGATAATTTTGAATCATCAAAATGTTGTTGTTTAGCTGAACAAAACATCTACCTTAATTCTTATAAATTTAATGTATAAATAAACAAAACCAATTTCTTGTTTAATCTTTAAGTCTTAAAACAAATCTGCTTGGATACTTTGTTGAACTTGACTTTCATAATTTTGAATACATGTGGTTTTTTTCTAGTGGAGATGGTCAAAACAGTTTTGCACAGCTTTTCTCGGCACTCTTTTGACAAAATGTGTTAATGCTAGTGAGCGTACTTCAGTACAGCATGGATGAAAATGCAAGGGCAGCTGGGAAGAGTCTTCACAAGAAGTATTCTGTATCGTGTGATGTCAAAGATCCCCAGGCAAACATAGCTAGAAGCACCAAATCTCTCAAAGGGCAAAAATCCCAGCTGAGTCTCAAATTCACTGTGCAGGGAAGGGCTGCAATCTGCTAACGAAAAGCAGATGTACAGAAGTCATTCTGGCAGCTGCATCTGTCATGCTGCCTCTCCCCCACCCCGCCTGGACAGACCCACTCTTCCATCCAGTCGTGTGCTTTTCAGAGACAACAAATAGGCAAGCACAAATGTCAATCATGTGAAATCCATCCCTTAAGACAGTCGTCCTTTCCTCGTCCTGCCTTACAGTCTGATTGAGCCCTACTGCTCCCTCAGCGAAAGGCTCTCAGATCTAAGGCCAAGCACTGGGCAGGACGCTGGGGTACCCCTGTGCAGCCATGCAGCTCCCCCCACACTGGCAACACCCCCGCGCTCCACTGGGAACAAACCCATCCTGCATATCCTGCTCCTTGGGGATCCTCTCCCGATCCTGCACCACATTCCTCCTGCTCCAAGAGGGAGTCGGGCCTCACTGGATGGCGACAGGGGGGCTGATGCTCCTCCTGCCCCGCCACGAGCAGGGGGAGCGCTCTGGCGGCTCTGGGGCGCCCAGGCAGGCACGGCCGGCGCCCAGGCGAGCAGCCCTCGGTGAGGGCACTAAGGCGCAGGGAGGGCAAAGCCCGCTGCCCCTCGGGGCCGGGCACCGCGGGGGTGTCCTGCGGCCTCCCGCCGGCAGGCGGCACCGCTGCATTCCCGGGCTTTGTTCCCGTCGGCGCCAGGCAGTCAGCTGAGGGGCCGCGCCGAGCGCCGGAACTTCACGCTATTTACACGTTTCAGCAGGCAGGGGCAGCAGCGGTCATTGGCTGCAAACTACGCAACTTTTGTGTTAATTGCTGCTCAAGCCCCATCTGCTGGCTGTGTCTCCCGCTGCTCATGTCGATCGGTCCTGCCCTCCCTCTGAGCCTGGCGTCAGTTCTCAGTACGTGGCCAGTGAGTCGGTGGTCGCGATCGCCCACAGCCGGGATTGCCATCCCCCAGTCAGCCCCGCCGACTTTGCTCCTGGTGGCTCTCGTCCGGACAGCCCATACAACTTCGGGCTGTCTGCCCTATTCCTTAAAACTCCAACCAAGCATCCGATGCTCGCAATGCAGCTGATTGATGGTAACCGTCCAGCTATCGGATGCTAATTTAGGAAGATAAAAGGCGAAGCTGGACTCGGACCCTTCCGCAGGGCCGGGTGCCGCCCCTCTGGGGCGGAGCGTCCTCAGCGATGGCGGCGGCGGGGCCGCCCCTCGGCGCTGACGGGGCCGTGGCGGCTCCCGGCGCAGCGATGGCGGCGGGCAGCGCCGTGTGGCTCGGCGGGGACCCGGTGAGGCGGCGCGGGCTGCGCGGGGCAGGGCGGCGGGGCCGGCGCGGCGGGGCTGACCCGTGTCCCCTGGCAGGTGGAGTGGGTGCTGTGCCCCTACGACGTCCATCACCGCGTGCCCCGCGCGTCGCTGGAGAGGCACGCGGCGTCCTGCCGGCTGCGCAGGATGGGATACTCCGCCGAGGAGGAGGTGGGAGCGCGGCTCGGGAAGAGGGGCGCGGGGCTGGCGCTGCTGCCATGGGCGCGCCTGGGCTGCCACCGCCGCTCGGCGGCCCCCGCCGGGCCTTGACCGAGCCTTTTGGTCCCGCAGGCCGAGATGTACGACTCCAGCTTTTTCTACGAAAACCTGAAGGTTCCCACCATCGCCATGGGTGAGCGGGGCAGCGGGGGATCCGTCTGAGCGGGCGGCACACACGGCCGGGGCTGAGGAGGGACCCCGGGAGGTGCAGAGCAGGAGGGGCTGTGGGGAGATGGTGGGGAAGGACCAGGATGCGGGACCAAGGAGTCTGGGTCCTCACGGCGGCACAACTCCGCTGCCTTGGTAGCTGTAAACTCCCCAAGACCTTCCGAAAATCTTGAGTGTTATAATCAGTAGGTTAGTTACGTCAATTTGTAATTTGCAATTTGCCTTAATTTACTGTTTTTATGCTTCTATCACTGTGTAATTCTACTCTGTAGATCACTTTTGTATTTTCATCTTAAAATCCAAGGAGGATCAGTTTTGTCCTCTTAGGAGTTTCTTTGTATGTTGTTAGTCCTCACTCTTGCATCAAATCCAGAAAGTTATTAAAATGAATGCTTAGAAGGTGGGCAAGCTGTCTGTAGAATTTGGAGATAAAGCAATGGTACAGAGAGCAATGTACATATATACTATGTTGTTAGCCCTCACTCTTGCATCAAATCCAGAAAGTGTATTAAAATGAATGCTTAGAAGGTGGGGAAGCTGTCTGTAGAATTTGGAGATAAAGCAATGGTACAGAGAGCAATGTACATATATACATTTCCTTTTCCATATCCTTGTAACCCAGAAATACATATTTTTTCCTTAATTTTCTCCCCTCATTTCAAATATGTAATAGATGAAAATTACGTTTTTAGTTCAAATGTCCACTTGTACCTGAATGAAACTATGATATTCTGTACCATGTCATAAGTCTCATAATAGAGGTTGGATGAATTAAACGATGATGTTCCTGTACCATGTCATAAGTCTCATAATAGAGGTTGGGGAGTACGGGGAATAAAGATCAAGTACTTAAGAACTTGATGTAAAAGTGTTATGATTTTATTTTCTTCTCTGCCTGCAGATAAAGATCTACAGTTTCACATTGTTAAGCAGGCTAGAGCCCAAAGTGCAAAGGAAGGTGCAGGCTACAGTGAAGGTAAGGAGCAAGCAGATACTGACATGATTTCACCAGCCTCCTGTGGAGAGCTGCCCTCATCTTCCTCCTTGCTGCTTCCTTCATTCCTCTGAGAACTGCTGTGAGGAATTTAATTTAGTTTTCATATTTCTTCCCATGCATATCTTCGAGCATGATTTCTTTCTATACTTGGGGCAACTAGATGAGAGACTTTGAGTCTGTTGTGCTCATATCTCTTATTGTCTTCAGGACTGAAAAAACCAAACAACATGCGTGTTACTGTGTTGGACTGTTTCAAGACTGAACCAAGAAATTGTATAAGAACTATGCTGGCACATTTGCAAATGGGATATTGTCCTTTGTCACTGCTCCGAGCTCGCTAATTCCTTTATGTTTCATTTTTCAGTGAGTTTTGTGACCACACAGGGGACCAGGCTAGGATGGAATCTTCAAAGGGTCAGACTTAGATCAGGTAGAAAAATAGGGCTCCCTCTGGAATGTGTAGAGCTTTAGTGTGTGGTTGAGAAATTACTGCAACACCTGAAAGAACACTTGCTCTCTGTAGACTTTGGTTTGTTAAACATATATAGGCAGAAGGAAAAGTAACACTGAAACTTTCGTGACAGTGAAATATAGCAGCACTTGCTCAGACAGCTTTTCCTGTTTTCTTTGTTTCTCTGGCGTAGCAAATAGAGGCTTAATGGACAGTTGCTTGGAAAGGGGATGTCCTGGGATGAGCAGTGTGTTTTGAGCCTGTCAGGTGCATTGCCTCTGAAGGGAAGTGGGAATCATTCATTTGACACAACCACATGCAAGCAGAGAAGCAGCAGATAAAGCCTTTGTGGAGTGGTGCATTGCAAAGGTACACCAGTGAGCCACTAGATGCCAGTGTTCACTGCCCAGATTTCCCTGCAAGCTTGGCTTTTCCCTGAGGATAACACTAAAACCGGATCGGTTGTTTTCATTGTGACACCTTGGCCTGTTGTAAGATTTGATGACTTGTTTGTTCAATTTGAAGTCTTTGGCAACAGAAACAAATGAAAAAAGTTTTTTTCATTGTAAATTTCCATTTGATTCACTCTCTCAAAGGAAGACATTTTCTTTCTTTGTTTTCTTTTTTCAATTCTAACCATATTTATAATATTAGCATAGCTACATTGTTGAAAACAAAAATTTTTCTCAATCACAAGTTGTGTAATTATTCTAAAATCACAAGCATGTAATTATCAGTGCATTTATATGGACTTCTGTGACATTGTAAGAACAGTGCCTTTTAAAAAGAGACTTCTAGTTTTTGTATTTAAATTAATTTGTTAATGTTAGAACCGTTCTGGTTTAGGTTCCAAATACAGTAATAATGAAGTCTTGTATTTTAGGTTTGTTTGTAGAGTAACTGTGGTTTCTCTTCCTCTTCTTTGGTGTCTTTAGTGGTAGTAGGATGTGAAAGATTGCCCAGTTTCCATTAAGAGCTGAATAATCTGGAGAAGCTCTAGGTTTGCTGTTGTTGCACACACCCTTCTTATGTGTTGGCTTTGCTGTCTGCCTGGAGATGTGTGGGATTGTGTTGGGGGAAGCAGGATTATGGAGGTCAGATTAATGGTTGCTAGAAAATTGAAGGTTTTTGACTCAAATGGTGTTTTGTTGGCCATGTCCTAGAGTATTGCATCCTGTATCTTTGTGGAAGTCACTTAACTGCTGTTGCAATGGATTGGGAATGGATTAATTTGTTTGGAAGCATGTGTGTTTTAACTGGGGAATGGGAAAGAAGAGTGTTCAGGCAGTGTGTTTGTTTCCATAGCTTTGGTTCAGATAACTGACTTAATCTGGAGCACTTTGAAAGTGCCTTTGTAGTCCTTTTAGCTATAAATTCCTGTGTCAGTCTGCTTAAAAAGCTCTGTAGAGAAGGTGACAGTGTGAGTGAGACTGATTTACACAGTGCTTGGTTATCTAGTGTCCTAGAAGCTTTCATTCTAGTTGGCAGAACAGGTATTTTGCAGCTAGTGCTTTATGTAACATTTTAGGAGTAAGATAAACCCACAAGTTAGGGCTGCACTCTCTCTTGATTTAGCTTGTAAGCTGAAACTCATGGGAAATTACAGAGGTCATTTTGATCTAATCTTGTACACTTCTTTCATGGCACATGAAAACTGTATCTGGGTAAGCAGTCAAGAGGGGTTTTAACAGCCTGTGTGAGGCTTGGGAGGGATCTTGGAGCAGTTTTTATCTTTTCAAATTAAGAAGGTTGAAACTTCTTACAGATACATAGGGGAAGGATGAAAACAGCCTGGGAGATTACTGCATTGTTTGTTTGTTGAGCTTCTTGGTGTTTTCCTGCATAGTTATGCTACTTTACAAGTAACAGCTCTCTGTCCAACCTCCAGGTTCTTACTCATTACTGCCCATAGAAGTTCCTCAAAACCACAAGCGTTCCACCTGTGACCTGAGCCAGGCTGACCGCCTTGCTCTTTACGATTACGTTGTTGAGGAGACAAAGAAACAGAAATCCAGATCCCAGATAACGGAAAATGACAGTGATCTCTTTGTGGATTTAGCAGCGAAAATCACCCAAGGTTTGAAGAATGACCTGTTGTTGAATTTATGGCTCAGAACTTGCAGTTTGTCCAGTTACATAAGTTTTATTGATAGCCAAACAGAATTGATTATGCTTTTTGTTGTTTTTTTTTTTTTGGAGACCATACTATTAGTAAAAGCTACAACAAAGATCTGGCATCACAAAATATTAGTTTGGTGTCCTTTATGATGTTTACCTTCTTGCAAAGCCTCAGTGCTCTGCCCTTCACACATGTATTATGTGTATCTCAGTGGATGGATCTTCTGTCTTTGCTGCAGCTGACTCCAGGTTGCTTAATGTTGCCAATGTGCTGTGCAGCTTGGAACAGTTATTTGCTGTAGGACATGATGAGATTAAAGATTGCTTAAGAGTAAAAGCTGAACAGGAGAGGTTGGCAGTCATCCAGGTGGAGCTCTTGAGCAACATACTTTGGTGTTGGTCTGGGACCTCTCATCCCTGTTGAGTCATGCCAGTTTGTAACTACCAAGTGCAGCAAAAGCATTTATGTCACCCTGCAGGCCCTGCTGTGCCTAGGAGATGTGACAGTGCTTGTCATCTATGCAGATAACTTTTTAACAGAATCTGGCTTTCTCCTTCTGTATCTTACTGTAACACTGGCTTTGAAAACGTGACTCGTATTTAGAAGGCGTTTGACCAAATCACAAGCCTGTGTATTGGTGTGAATCACACTTTGGAGACTGAGATCACATAACAGAGTCTGCTTGGTGGCTCTTTACTTGTGTGTAAACAGCCAGCAAGAAGGTTGGAGGAGGAAGCTTGAGATAAATTCACCATAGTTACTAAATACAGGAGGAGCTTGAGAAAGAGCACGATTATTTTATGTTCCTGAATGTACAGGCCTGCATACCTACAGGTGCTAACATCCTGCTAATCACTGTTTTACTCTCAATTTTTTGCTAGATGATAGCCAGAAAGGTCCGAAGTCCCACCTTGAAATTCTGGCTGAAATGCGAGATTACAAAAGGCGGCGGCAATCATACAGAGCTAAGAATGTTCATATAACAAAGAAGTCCTACACTGAGGTGAGATCGGGGGAAAAAAAGGATTTTTTGGACAAAAGTGCTTGTTATATATCAGCATAAACAATTGTATACTTTTTCAAAGTCAAATCATGTGTCTTTCTCTGCTTCTTGTATACCCTGCTTTGTTATTGTTGCAAACTATAGAGGAATGGATTTGGTTTATTAGGAAAAAAAGGCTTTTTTGGACAAAAGTGCTTGTTATATATCAGCATAAACAATTACATACTTTTTCAAAGACAAATCATTTGTCTTTCTCTGCTTCTTGTACCCTGCTTTGTTATTGTTGCAAACTATAGAGGAATGGATTTGGTTTATTGCAGCAAGTTACAAATAATGAACATTTCTAACTGCTAAGTTTTGAATGTGAAAATATCAGCAGCATATAGCTCACTATCATAAAATGGTGCTATTTAAATTTATGCTGAAAGATTTTTCTGCAAATAAGACTTTCCATTCAAACATCTGATGTACAGGGTTTGGGGGAGATTTTTGTGAGGTTAGGGTTTTTTTGAGATGTCATTTACACTTTAAGTGCTTGTTCAGGCACTACCATGACGTGTTTGTTTTTAACATATCTTAATCTCCAGGTGATTCGGGATGTGATTGGTGTGCATATGGAAGAACTCAGCAATCAGTGGCAGGAGGAGAACAGGTTGGATAATGCAGAGATATGTGAAGGAGGGAAGTCGAAATCTTCAGGAAGGTATGCCACAGCTGACAGCTTCTTCAGGCATGAAGCAGATTGTAATTTTATCTTACCACCTTCTTCTAATACCACACCCCAACATTATCTGAGTCATATGCACGGTTTATTTCATACTAATTCTATTCAGTCTTGCTTGAGAAACTCTGCGTGTATGAAGGATGGAGAAATATAAGTATCTTTCTTTCAGAGGTAAGTAGGTTAGTTACAAGTGATTCAGCTGAACAGGTAGTTTCTGGTGGAGCTGGGGATGAATAGTGCTCCCTCTGTGCCCAAATATGTGTATATGTTGTAGCTGTTTACAGAAGGACACTTGGAAATACAAGTACACAATTTCTTACCCCTCCCGACCACATGACATGTGCTAGATATATTACACCTCAGAGTAAAGGTTTCCAAAATATAGTAAATGTGGGGAGGCTTTACAGTTCTTATCCCTGCAAATGCTGCTGTGGGAGGGTGTTTTAGCTATACATATTTCTGCTATGTCAAGCAACACTGCACACCCTTCCAAACGTTTGTCACTGAAGTAAACATGAAGTCATGACCTAGTGGTTTCCTATTTGTGCCTCTTCAGCAGGTCTTTGAGAGAAGAATGTTTTTGAAACACACTATTAAGTGACACTCTGTACCCAGCATTAAAATGAAGATGAATGCATGTCAGAGCACTAGAATAGTCTGCCCAGGGAGATCCTAGAGTCTCCCTGTCTAGAGAAATTCAAAACCCACCTGAACATGTTCCTGTGTAACCTGCTCTAGGTGACCCTGTTGTGGCAAGGGGAGTAGATTAGATCTCCAGAGGTCCCTTTCAACCCTAACAATTCTATGATTCTGTCAGATCAGGACTTAGGTTCTCCAGCTGTAGGTTGCAGCTTAAGACAGATGCTTGAAGAATTAAAGATTTGTAGCAAAACAGAGTGAACCCCTTCTACTGCCTCCTGTTTCACAAGCAGAGGTGTTAAGGAACAGGAAATTGGATTACATAGAGTGCTGAGATACACACGAGATGTGCACATGGACTTTGGGCCTCTTTTGGGAGGTATTGTATTTCTTAGATAGGCTTAATAAAAGATATGTCTTCTGTCTTACATAGGTAGTATGTCACTATATTACAAAACTGGTACTGGAAACAGTGAGTGTGAAACTGTTTTTATTGATTAAAATCACTTAAGTTTATTTTCAGAAGGGAAGACAGGCGGTCAGCGTCAGTGGACTCTCGGCAGTCTGGGGGAAGCAGTAAGGATACGGAGTGCACGAGACACAGGAGAGACACCAGCAGGAGTCCAAGTAAACGAAGGAGGAGTCGGGAGAGAGGCAAAGACAGAGACTCTCGGAGAAAAAGAGAGAGGTGAGCAGAAACAGTGACAGCAGACTCCTGCTTCCCAATCAGGCTGCTGTAGCCATTTTCTATGAGAATTTAGTGCAGAGGTTGAGCATGTCTAGTCCAATTAAAAAGCTAGGCTAACATCATGTGCAGTATGACAAGCCAGTGGTATGAGGCTACTAATACTAAACAAAACATACTGTGAGATCACAAACTGTGATCTAGCCTTCAGAATTTACAGTCACATCTGAAAGGTGACACTTTCTGCAGCATGCTTTCAGGGCTACAACAGTACTGTAACAGGCTGTTGATTTTACTCCTTGATCAATATGGTTAAAGGGACAGTATGTTTCTCATCCACAACTAAGTGCCTGTCATGTCTAATGCTGATTTCTGCTCTAGATCTTAATAAATAGTATTATTTGTTTCACTAGTATGCCAACATTAACTTTTCCATATTAGATGCTTCAAAACAATGCTGTTGTTCTTCAGTACTTTTGCACATACAATTTGGCAAAAGACAACAAATCTAGGCCACACCTTGTAATACCATCAACAAAGACATTCACATCTGCAGGACCACAGGTGTGTGGGACCCTGTGTTTGAGCAGACATGAGGACTGTTGTGCAGAAGAAATGCTGCCTTGCTCCTTGTATTTGTGTAAATGCATTACATAACTGTTTGGATGGCAGTGATGGCTTGTCTCAAAGCTGGCTTCATTACTCCGTGATGCCATTCATCCTAATCGAATTGCCACTCTGGCACTGCATGACAAGGCGTGGATTAAAGCAGCACAGAAAAGAAACTGTCTAAAAGCAGTTTACTTTCTTTCCTTAGAGGAGGACATGACTACATTTAATGAGACCTTTCCATTTTCCAAGTTGTTTTTTTCTCTTCAGATTTCTCTTCAGATCCTAACAGCCCACACAATGTTTATGTTTTTGTTTCAGGGATGAAGACAAGTATTACAATCACAAAAGAAGAAAGTAGGAACAAGAACCTGATGATTTTGTTTGTCAGCTGTTCAAAACATAACTTCCACAAGAACTATTGTTACTGCTGTTTTGCCCAAGACAGTAAAGGTGTGCACATAATATTGGTGTTGAATCACACCTGTGCTGCTTGGAGACGAAAAAGTGCTACAATTTGTCAGGATGGAAGTAGTACATTTCAGATAATGTGTAAATCTGTAACATTTATACATCTGTTAATAAATTATATTGATCTCTCATGTATTTGAGTTATTCTGACAATTTTTTGTCATAAAATTTATGAGAGGTTGTACTTTCTGGCCTTCCTGGCCCATAAGTAGTGGATATAGAACAGAGCTAATCCCTGGAGCCCAGATCAGTTACACACAGGGAATGCATGAAGAGAGCTCCCCCTCCTACCTAACACTGTTACCTCTAGGTGACATTGCCTACTTACAGCATGTACCAGAGGGCAGATTTCAGAGTTCTCCAACAGGATAAAACATCTTCAACTGCAGCTGGTGTTAAATGGAAATAACACAAAATTTAAGTGTTCCCAGGCTCATGCTCAAAGAAAATTCAGATCAGTACAAGCTGGAAAGGGTGATGAGAATGTAGGTCTCCACAGAAGCTAGGGAGGAGGTACCAAGGACACTTGGAATATTTCTGAGTACCATATTCAAACAGCAGGTGCATTTCCTTCCAGCAGTAACTAGGAAGACTAACATACAAATGTTTTATAGAGGTTGATAAAACAGACTTAAAACATGCAGATAGATATAAGTATGTACAGTTCTGTTAATTCCTCACACAATCTACTTCAGCAAGGTCAATCACCATCAGCCAAGCTTGATTCAACAAAGTAAACAACTATAAGAGAACAAGATCCATCTTTCCTAAAATACTTCTGTTTGTTCAATGTGCCAAGAGAGGGCACTTCATGTTGCTCCTGGTTGTGGCCTTCTCAGTCAAAGGGAATCTTTCCAGTTTTACTGTAGCCTCTAGTACTCTCTCTCATACCTCAGTTGTTTCTGCAATTAAGTGTGATTATCTGTCACTAAATATTTGGTCTACTTTTGATGGACTTGGGCTTCTATACCTGCTAACCAAACAACTCTCTGTCATATATTCCTCACATATGTGATAAATGCAGTAGCTTTACCTGCCAGAAAACAAGATACATTTTAAAACATTTATTTAGACAAGTTTATCCAAAAATGAAAAAAGGTATTTAAGTTCTGAAAGGGTTCTAATTAGAGAGAAAACAATATGGAACCACTGCAGTCCTTGCACTGGTTTTGTCTACCAGCTCAGCCACAGGGTTCTCATTAAGTTGTTTCAGTAGGGCCTGGTAAAACAGTTCAAATAGCACATGTCCAGGCAGACAAGGTAGTCCAAGGACCAGCTGTATTTGTACCAGAGTCAAAATGAAGTCAGAGCTACCAGAAGCATAATGAGAAATGCTCCAGTTACAGCTGCCCTGGCTTAATTCCACGTTTTACTTAATCATTTATCAAATGTAAGTAGGAAGCTCGGTAACAAAACAACTTTTGCTCAATTCAATATAAGCAGATGGGTGAAGGGGTCGCTCCCTAGGGGTGGCCATCGGTATCGGAGAGGCTGGAGAACAATATAACCATGTATTATTGAACGAACATCCCCCAAAGGGCCATCTCAAGAGCAGGACAAAGAAAAGGAAATGCCAGAGAAGAGGATCATGTTGTTCTGAAATGTGCGAATTACGGTACTTTGAACACAAATTATTTTCTTGAACTTATTTATTCCTTCTTTTGTTTTTCCTCTCACCTCATGCTGAAGAGTAGGGTTGATCAGTAAAATATGAAGGAGTATGGCAGGAAGTGTCTGATCAGCACCATGCCAGAGTATTTGTCCCTGGAAAGGAATAAACCAAAAATTTTAAGTGTCACTTTCACATGGTAAATCCTAGTGTGTTGGAAAATATACAATTTAGGACTATATGAAATGCAAGAAAAAGAGGCAATGATTAAAAAGTGGTTCTTACTGAAAAACTGTCAATCTTACAACTAATGATGAAAACGTTCATTTGTGTGCTCTTGTTTTGGAGCTCCCATGAACTTGCAGCTGGTGGCAATCTAAGGCAGTGTATGGAGTTTGCATGGCAATGTTTTTTGGGGGGCAGGTGGGGGTCACAGTGGTGCCCTCTGTGAGCTTCTGAGAGAAGTTTCCCCCCCTTCTAGAGAGCCAATGCCAGACAGCTCCAGGACAGATGCGCCGCTGGCCAGGGCTGAGCCCAGCAGCGATGGTGGTAGCACCTCTGAGGCTGTGTCAGCCACCATGCACAGAAAGAACACTTCCAGAGAGATGGGGGGAACAGTTAAGTGTCTGTAGGCAAACATGCTACACAGGCAACACGTGGAGGACAAGCCTGTTACAGATCTTTTTTAATTGGTGTAAGTGCATTTTGTGTGACCTATGTGTGACTATGGATACAATGAGAGAGCTCCTAGTCTCTCTCTCTGATTTGTGATCTATGTTCAATCAAAGAAACAGCCCAGAGGATGCTGCTGGTTCCAGAAGCAAGAATATGCACATGTTACAAGCCTGTATATAATAGCTTCCTACACAGAAAATTATACCACCCTACAGAGACTTCAGAATTTCAGAAAAAAATGGATAAATAACAGTTTATCTTTTAACAGTGCAAATGCTGAAGTTGACAAAAAATAACTCAGCATATTTTTGATACAATCTTAGTCAATCCTTACTCCTGTCATCATGGCTATGCCCAAAAGAAAATGGACTATTCATCTGAAATTAAAGGCTTATGGAGAACCCAGAGGCAATTGCTACATTAAAATTCAGAGATTTTCACTTACGCTTGTTCTCTAATTCCATCGAGGAATACATTAGTTTCCGTCTCTGATATCTCTCCATCAATACTGGCCAAATATGAATAAAGGAATGAGAATGTTTCAAAGGGAATTCGAGCTGCGCCGCCTTCTGGGTCTCTTGTTAGGATCTCACAGGCCTGTTTCATTGAACTCAGTAAGGACTGCAGGGGGTTCCAGAAAGAAAGGAAAAGGAAATGAAAGGAAAAGTGTCAGAGCCATGAACATCCTTGCATATCATGGCAAAATCCACGCTGTAAGCCACTAAAAAGGAGGTTGAGTGAGATGAAGGTGTTATCATCGTTGCCTAGCTTTAAACCCCAAATTTACTCTCTAGTGCAAGCCCAAGGATGAAAATAATAATGTAGTTCTAGTAGAGACAGGAGTAAAAAATACCAGAATCTTGTGACGGTTAATGATTGCATAGGGTAATGTGAGCTCTCTCTCCATTAGGGCCAAATTGCCCTGTTCTGCTACTGTAAAAGCTCCAACGTCACTGTATCTAGTAACAGATCTTTTTGTGTGTGTGTGTATATTACCTCAATGGTTCGAAATTAATTCTCAGCAGCAGTTAAGACAGATAAGTCTACAACCCCCAGCAAATAAATATAGGTTTGGTGATTTTATTATGATATTCTATTATATAATTTTTAGATTATATTTTGGCTGATATTTACTGTTTCCCCTATCTCTATGCAACTTCCATTTTAACAGACAGTAGAAAAAGCACTAAGGCAAAAAGCATGTAAAGAACATTTCAGTTGAGTCAAAGGCCAATAACATCCGAGTTGCCTTTAAAACACATGCCTCAAATTATTAGTTCCAAACATACTTTGAAAAAATCCTTCCTTTAATATGGTGTTGACAATCCAGTGCCCTATGCATGCTGAGCTATACCAGGAAAAGTGTGGAAAAATTCAGCACTGTTCCATTCGGTCAAAGAATGAATTGGATCCCATTAAAGAAACAAACTAACAAAACCACATGCACCATATATATAAAATATAAAAGCACAAAACCAAACCCACACAGGCTTTCTTTAACCTAAGTCTTAATACTTTTCACTGCGACTTTTTCAAAATTTACATTTTCATTAACAAGCAAGCAATGTCTATGTAAAAAGACAGTATTTGATAACAGTAGAATAGCAATACTTAAATAAATTATCTGTTTAAGATATAGAACACAGGCCAGAGAAGTGTCATCTTATAATCCTTTAACTGTTTTACTTAATGTATCTCCTCCCCTGGAAGGCTTCTCAGGGAAAAGAGAGGCAGCTGACTCTATGCTGGCCAACTCTACATTTTGCATTTAATTACCCCTCTACTGCCCTTTCTGGTCCTGCCATCCCAAACTGCCACGGTCTCTCTCTCTCTCACAACACAACAAAGTTATTCAGATCCATTTTGCCAGCTTTGAAAGACAATTTAGCAGGCTACCTGTGTGTTCATTTCTCCTTTTGTAAAGGCTTTTGTAAAAATGCATTGATGCTTTACAAAAAAGATACTTCAGACTGGTGCTCTTAAGAAATTCGTATTTGTCTGCTCTTGTATCTCAACCGTGACCCTACTTGACTGTGAACACAGTTTATAGCTGCAGGAAATGAATGTAAATTTCTCATCTATGTCTTTCTCTCTGGTTTAAGAAACTGAGATCTAGGTTTCATTATGTAGTACTGAAATGAAATAATTCACTTAATATCCAAAAGGATGGTGAGATGGTGAAATTTAGTCTGTCTAGCTCCATCAGAATGATGTTCCTGTGACTCCATTTTTGGTTTTGGTTTATTTGGGGTTTTTTTGCTGGTGAGAGGGGTTGTTGTTTTTTAGATAAGTAATGTTGCTGTTACTATTTTTAAATGAAGAAAAGAGCCCAAATGACAAGATCATGTTGGGAGGGAGACTGGAATCAAGAAATACAAATTTGAAATAGAGACAGACAGACAGATGGACAGACAGATGGATAGATAGACAATTGCACGATTGCATCACCAGGCCAGGTTAACATTCAGGGCTTCCAGATACTGCAACATTCACAAAATATTATTTCACATATATTTTCTTTTTAGTACCTCTTCTTCCCTACTGTAGAAAACATTAGAAGTATTATACTTTATAAGAACATCAGCTTAATGCATTTTATAATCTTTCATTCTGTTGAAATGCTCTGCTGAGATTTTATTACTGTCATTAAAAAAATTAAGTGCAGCTGTAGTAACATTAAGTGCTGCTGAGAAAATTTAATTGGCTACACAATCAATTAAAAATTGGTTCTTTCATTTCTCCCTTCAGTTCTCCTCCACAGACATTTACACTGATGCCATCAGCATCATTCCTCCATCATCCTTTCTCACACAGGACAAGCTCCCTGCAGACACACTTGCTCTTCCATTGAGGACTTAGCCATCCTTCTGGTTAAGCTCCCCAGACCAAAATCTGATGGACAACTGAAGTAAACATGCAAGCCACTTTACCAGCTGCTGCAAAAGCAATCACCATTCCCCAGATACATCTGCATTAATTATTCTGTGGTCTATCTTGGATAATTACAGATCCTAGGCAACCACGTGTGTTTGGATATGAGGGCTCCTGCTGTGAACGTACCCCACCAAGCACGCTGCACCCAAGTGCCAGAAACTTCATCCATTCCACCTGCTCGCCAAAACTGTCCAATTGCAGGATAGCTTCCAGCTGCTCCTCTGGCAAGCCCAAATGCTTCCACTTTTCTCTCAGTTCTGCAATGGTCACCATGCCTTTGGAGGAAAGCTTTGAACAAAATCATGGTACCACAGTAAGAACTCCAAAAACCAGAACAAATTTAAGAACACAGTGTCTCCCCAAAATACTTCAAATACTTGACAGTCTCTCTTCCCAGCCATCCCCAACACATCAGCATTCCTCAATAGCATTGTGATAAAGAACAGCTTATACCTGTTTGTGCAAGACCTTAAGGAGTCCTGGGGTCAAACCAGCATCTTTTTTCCCTGTTGTTAATGGCATTTCGAGCCTCTCCTTCACAGGAAGGGGTTCACCTTTAGATAAGGCTGAAAAATACCTAAGTGAATGGGAAGAGCAACACACCTCAATGCCCATGGCCATTACAACTGCACAGAAGTAAATGCTTTTACAGTTCAGTGTAAGAATCTGCAGGCTCCCCTACAGGAGCAGCAGCACCTGGTAAGCTGCCTACATGCACAACTCCCATATTCCTGTGCCCAAATCCCACAATCTTTAGACTTTACTTGCTCCTTTTCATAACACTCTGATAATTCCTAAGGCATTTAAATTATTTTGTGCATGATATATTCAGCTCTTTTGATTGATGAACATGAGGACTTACCTGTTTAACACTCCCCTCGTGCACTACCCAAAATGTACATCTGCCTATTCACATTGCAACTCTCTCCTCAGCATTTCTGCTATTTCTGCCCACTCCAAAATAAAATTTAAGAGTAGAGCACAAAGGGCATTGGATGTACATCCTTTTAATTATAAGGCTGCCCTAAGAGCTGCCTCTGCCTTAACTGGACAGCAATTGAATTGTGCAAGAAAAACTCAGTTTTTATTCAAGTGTATCTAATTTACAAGTTTCTCCACTTGTCCTGCCTCATCTGCCCTGGTCATCCCTGTCCATGTCCAGGCTATCCCATGCTGTGCAAATACTTGCTAAAATACACAGCAGGCAGCACTCCAGAACTGAATTAGTGTGACTATAAAAACAGATGCATGTACAGATAACACCAGGGATATTTTTCAGCCAGATCCAGTTCCTTATCTGATTATTCACAGGCACGAGCACTACAACACCAGCAGCTTTCTCCAACACTGCAGCGGCAACAATTCAGCTTCAGATTATTTTCTTTTTAACAGACAAGCCAGACTCCAGCCTGGCTTGTGTTAACAGCCTCTCCTACCTCACATGGTACAGACGTTTTCCAATCCCACCAGCTGAGAACATCTCACAAATACCTTTCAAGAGCTTGCCCACACAAATCATAGGACAGGAAAAAATTATAGTCAGCAGTTGAGGTAACAGAAAAAAAATGTTAAAGGTGAAACACTTAAACATCTAAATCAACTTTATGGCAAAAGATTTATTATGCTGATTATCACTTCAAAGGTGCAATTTTTCAGGCACTTTTCCCAGAAAGAAAGAAGAGAAAATAACCAGGCTTAAGAATTAAAAAGCTAATGTCTATTTTTTCCTTTAAATTCCAAGAACTGAATCTCAGATGAGAGAAGAAAAACCAAACCAAACCAAAAGGAAAAAGAGCTGGTCTTTCAAGTAGAAAAACTAATAACAAAAATCAAATTAAGATGCATTTTGCTGTATGGAAATCCAGCTATTTCAGAAGTAAGCCAGCCCTAAACCTCAAGGAAACAGAAAATAAATAAAATACCACACTATTTTAAAAGGTTTACATGCTGCATTAGTAGACAGAAATGTATATGCGATGTATATGCTGATGCAATATTCAAAGTTATGTCCACTATACAACAAAGAGGAGATGAAGTTTTGAGGGTCCATGCACAGCTCTCTGTTTTTAGGTGAACATCATACTTACGCAGCTGCCCACTGCAAAACATCAAAAGGCTGAGTCCTAATAGCAGCTTTAGTAAATTGCTTCAAAATATCAGGAAGCTCTGGAGGTATTTTGATCTGCTGAGCACAGAACATGGTTTCTGGAAGAGGCATGGTGTCCAGTCACAAGGACCTGAAAGAAATGAAACAGCAGTGCACAGATGCAGAATGTGACTGAAAAACTGTGTGCACATGGGAGTGAACAGTGCCTGTCTCCAGATTCCCTCCTGCCCTACTCAATAGCTGGGGCTGCTGGAGAGCTAACAGACTTGGAAGGGGGAACAGACAAGCCCTGCATGGCTCTAAAAACTTCATGGCTACACCAAGCAAAACACAAAAGCTTGGGCACCAATACCAGCTGGGTGAGAACTACTACTTTAACAGGTGACTTCAGATAGTTTTAAACTGATTTTTCTGCTCAAACCTACCACAACAAAAATCTGTAAAATTGGTAGTCCTGACAAGTCATACCATGAAAGGTATCTACATTGATAACTCACTACTGCACACCAAGGAAAATCTTGGCATTTTTGTACAGATGCCAGAGTATGCAGATGACCAAGCTTCTACTGTGTTTATGTATTGAAAAATGCTGTAGCAAAAAGTTACTAATTTGTGCTCACGACAGACTTGACATCAAACAATTACAAACAGAACATTCATGTGTGCTGCAAGGACATATTGCACTTTGCTCATACTGCTGTATGCAGCAGCTACAGGTGTGTCTGTCTCATTCAGGATTTAACTCATTTGTTACTAGGAAGCCTGTTCCCCAGGATCCAAAAGAAGGGACAGAGATAGGCTATTATATGGTTCTTCTCCCATAGTGATGGAGCGGATTTGGTGGGAAACTCTTCTTATCATTCCCAGGACAAACTATGGCATGCTTAAGTTGATTTAGCAAAAAGAACCTAAAATGGTTAGTTGTTTGCAGAAAGGAGAAGCAGTAAAAGCAACAGCATTAAGAAGGTAATCAGGAATCATGTAACAAAATCCTCTATCCCTTTAGACTTTTTGAAGATAAGAGTACCTGGCAGGTGGCTTTCTCACGTGAACTTTCCTGTAGTGGAAAAGAAAAAAATTAGAAGTCAGCAATAGAGCAATGTAACTGCTGTGATTCAAGGCTCCTTTGAGGATCAAACCATATTTAGAACTTTATTTATGGAGAAATGCAGACAGGGTACAGCATCTTCATCACTCCAATGCAGCCAATTTGCATCAGGAACAGACTTCAAAGTGCACATTTAATTACCAGATTGGTCACGAGCTTTCAGTAATGATTCAAAAACATAGCTCTAGCTAAGGAGCACAGCTGAAGGCAAAAAAGCTGAGGATTTCAGGACAACAGAAAAACTCTGAGGAAGGAATACAGCTGTGTGTGCAAGTACCCTTGGGAAGTACTCAAACAAAAGAATAAAAATAAAATCGGGGGGAAAATGCAGTGCAAGAGCTGCCTTTCTACAGTAAGGCATTAATCACAGAGTCTCACAGAAGGGCAGAGGTGGCCAGAGACTTCTTGGAGGTCAGCTGGTCTGACCCCCGGCACAACCGATGAGCAGGGTGCCAAAAATCCATGACCAGGTGTGTTCCAAGAATCTCCACGGATGGAGACTCCACACCCTGCTGGGCAACCTGTGCCACTGCTTGGTCACCCTCACAGGGAAAAAAAAGTTTCTTGATGTTCAGAGGGAACCTCCTGCACATACATATACACACACACCTAATGGTCAAAGAAAAGCACAGCTAGGTCAGGCAGCCTCCATACCCCTTCACCATCGTCGCTCTGCCGTGGTTTACTCTCGCTAGAGACAAAGATCAGCTCATCACGTTCACTTCCTCTAGTTAGCTCTAATTTTCTATTCTTTTCCTTCCACGCACCCCAAGCCAGCCCCAGGTGTTCAGGAAACAAGGCCGAGGCGTGTCGCACACAGCTGGGACTGGCCGAGCCCCGGGCAGACAGCGGCCCCGGCGCGGCCCCTCGCAGGCCGGAGGGAGCCCCAGGGCGGCCCACGGCCCCGGAGCCCCGCACACCCCCGGCGGCCGCCCCGGGGCTCGGGGAAGGCCCGCACGCCGCCCCTCACCTGCCCCGCTCCGCGGCCCCGCTGCCCCGGCAACGCGGAGGGACGGGCCGGGGCGGGGGAAAGCTTAACGGCGGCGAGGTTTAAAGGGCAAGAGCAGCTCCTGCTTTGTATGAACTTTCGAAAAGGCCCAAACCATGGATGGGGGGATTGAGTCTACCGTTCGTCAATTGGCAGACGCAGCCTGCAAGGGGGGTCGGAGTAGGCTGGGGGGCACAGCGGCTGGACAGGAGCCAGCAGCGGGCCCAGGGGGCATCCGGCCTGTAACAGCAGGAGCGGGGCCAGCAGGATGAGGGAAGCGATTCTGCCCCTGTACGCGGCCCTGGTGAGGCTACACCTCGAATCCTGTGTCCTCTCACTTCAGGGAGGAACTGGAGGGTGCTGGAGGGAAGGGTGACAAAGCTGGACAAGGGCCTGGAGCACAAGTCCTGTGATGAACAGCTGGGGAAGGTAGGGGTGTTTAGCCTGGAGGAGGAGAGTCTCAGGGGCAACCTCTACAACTGCCTGAAAGGAGGCTGTGGGCAGGTGAGGGTTGGCATCTTCTCTCAGACAACCAGTGACAGAGTAAGGGAGCATAGCCTTAACCTGTGGCAGGGGACATTAAGGCATTTTGGTTGGATATTAAGAAGAATTTTTTACAGAATGGGCAATTAGACAGTGGAAGGGTCGATCCAGGGAGGCAGTAGAATTACTGTCCCTGCTGGTGTTTAAGGAAAGGCTGCATGTGGCACTTAGCACCGTGGTCTAGTTTCCAGGCTGGTCTTGATCTCAGGCATCCTTTCCAACTTCATTTATTCTGTGATTTTGTGAACATCTTGGCACCATGGAAGTGGCAGAGCCCATGGCGGGGAGGCCGGTTCCTGCAGGTGCCTGGGTCCCTGTAGCCTGCTGGCCCCGGCATGTCCCCTGGCCACAAGGATGCTCTACTGGGTTAGCAGTGTTAGGGTGGCACATCCATCTTGCATTTGGTATTCTTGCACCTCTTTTCCTGGCTTGGATGAAATAAGAAGAAATGCTGAGTGAGCTGAAAAAGAGACAGGGCAATGTATTCACAAAAATTCCCTTTACTCGCAGCAGCTGCTGCTTCCAAGGACAGTTCAGCCACAAGCAACCTCTGGTAGACCAGTACTGCTGGTCAGACTCCACAGTCCTGGACAGTCACATAGCAGCACCACTGAGAGTCTGCCACCACCAAGAGCAGCTTCAGTAGCTGCTGGTCCAAACTGACATCATGAGGAAGTGTGGGCTCTCCCACTGCTCCAGAATGTGAGGAACCAAAGTGCCCTCTCTGCCAAAGTCTTCTTTCCACTGCAGATAAAAACAGCACCAAACCTGACTGGCATCAGGTAAAGACACCAGCACATCTCTTGGTTATAAAGCAATACCCCTCCTGTACCTTCTAACACGGACTGTGCACAGCCTGAGCACTCAAATCAACTTGGTAATAGGATTATTCACTTCAGAAAGCCTTCACAAGCTATTGCTCCAAAGAAACTTGGGTGCTGCATGCTCCAAACAGGCCAAGCAGTTACTGCAGAAGCACACAACCTTATTTGAAGCCAGGCCTTTTTAATCCACATTATGTCCCTGCTGATGAACATGCAAGGCCATGCAGGACAAAGATAAAATGGTGTGCTCTGGAAAGCAATAAACACACATTTTAGCAACTGTTTAATCTTTCATAAAACAGGAATACTTAGCATAAGCTACAGGCTAATTATTTGGCCTCAAAATACTTTGCAGATTCCTGTAACTAATGAAAACAGCAAACTTCTGACATATAATGATATACATTTCTATCCTTTAGTTGTTTCAAAGCATCTACTCATTTAAGAATACTAGAGCAGGAAAGACATGAAGAAAACGTTATCCTGCAGGAGCCTACAGAAGAGAATTCAATTAAACTGATTTCACAGTGCAAGTTTTCAATGGTGCCTAGTGATAACAGATAAACAGCAAGATGCTGCTTATCTGTGGTCATTGCACACACTCAAAACTATCCCTAGATGCCATACTCTTAATTCTTCCAGCAATTTGGTCCAGTGCAGTGAAATCATGCATAAAGCTGCCACACTGTATTATGGGAAAGAGCAGCATGTAGGTGGAATTTTTTTTTCTGTATTTAATGAAATATATTTTCATAGAATCACAGACTGGCCTGGGTTGGACCTTAGAGATCACCTAGTTCCAACCCTCCTGCCACAGGCATGAGCACTTTCACTAGACCAGGTTACCCAGAGCTCCATCCAACCTGGCCTTGAACATTTCCAGTGATGGGGCATCCACATCTTTTCAGGGCACCCTGTTCCAGTGTCTCCTCACCCTCACAGTAAGGAATGTCTTCCTAATATCTAATTAAACCTACTCTCTTTCAGTTTGAAGTCACTCCCCCCTTGTCCTGTCACTACATGCTCTTGTAAATACTCTCTTTATATGAATCTATGCTGCTTCCTAGAAGTATTTCCTCCCACTGTATAATACTGAGTCTTGTATATAAAGAACATTTAAAAGTATATCCATGGATGCAATTGTTGCTTTATAGCAGCACTGCCAGAAATGCTGCTATAAAGCAGTATATCTTAGAATTTCTGCTGCTTCCTACTTCCATGACTCCTACTAACAACTAGTCAAAATATCCCATGGACTCTCCATTCTAATCCAGCAGTATTTTTAGATCCATCACATTTCTTACCTAACCCTAGCAAGCCACTTAGACAATTTGTATCTGCTGAACATGGCACACCAGTGCAGCTCTGCACTATTGAGGTTCTAATACAGAAACTCTATCCAATATAAATAAAAGAGCTCTGCAGTGTTCTCTGGCTTTGTAAGCAACAAGGAATTCTCAGTAAAACTAGTGTCCTCTTCCAGGAACACAAACAGCCCTTGAAAGGCAAGTAATGTTAAATATCACCCCCTCTTCCCACACCTGATGTAGACACCTCCAGATGTTTGACTTCACCTTATACAGGGGAAAATGCCTCTGCAGCTTTGGTGCTGCCCAGTACTCAACAGGTAGGAGATAATAGCAGATAAGCAGAAAAACTGATATGCAGAGCTGTGAAATAATTTTGCCATTGCTTCATTTCTTGGTATTATGCTGAGCTCAAAACATTCAGTTTATCTTGAAATGGTATTTGGCCTCCAGAAATACAATCTTTAAAAATTTTCCATTATTGAGTAACTTTCTGCATGAAATTTCTCAATTTATGGTTACTTCTTAATGAAGAAATTAAAACCAGATGCACAGTTTAAAAAAAAAAAAGCTGTTAACTATGCAATTCTTTAGTTCCAGCTACTAATTAAGAACTGAAATACCACAGTAAGAGAGCTCTAACTTACCATTATGCTTTGTAAAAGCTGTTTCCTCATCTGTTTCAGAAAACAGCTTCTTTTATTTTGCACCCTGAACTTCATTACACTACCAAGATTCAATTTCTTCTTTAATTTTTTATTATTTGTATCATAATTTCTGCCAAGAACCTCACTCATTGCCCAGGCTGTACAGTGGCCATTATTCCCAAGGCACGCAGAACAAGAACACTGATCCTACCACAAAACCTTTCCACTCTGGATGTAAAAACATGGATAGTGACGTCCAAGGAAACAAAATGATGCTGATCAGCATGCCAGGCAATCAAACCCCAGTCATTTGTGATTTGTGAGGTACAGGCCTTTGTGAAGCTTTTTTTTAGAGTTCTGAAGATCAGTGTGGCTGCTGTGAAGATTTTTATGAAGACCTTTACACAAGCATAGCGGAAGGCAAGGAAAGAATTAATGCACTCAGCAGAAAAGTGATGTGAGCACTGTAATATGCTGGACTTGGCATCCTACTGAGGAAGTCACTGACACAAAGCAGTCACAGGTACTGAAGGGCCCTCAGAAACAAACTCAAGTAACTCAGCTTCACTCAATAGAGAGGGGGCAGACAGAGAGATGCAGAGTTTTAACTATTTTTAATCAATATAAAATAACCTGTTTAAAAACAGTCAAAGCTATGCTGCAATTAACTTTTTTCAATATGCACAAGATAGCTACAGAGCCATCTGACAGTTCTTGGATGAAGGCCTGTGGAACTAACAGTATCAATTCAACATACAAAGGGGGGGATACAATTGAGCCAGTACACACCTCCAACCCCTCCAGTCAAGACCAGGGTCAACACAAATTGTGGTGGAAGAGTGCACACACACAGACACACACACGCTTTCCCACTTGAATAACAGGAGTACACACCACTCTGCATCACTCCAGCACAGACAGAAGCCACTGGTACAGTGCTCATCAGCTGTGTCAGAAACAGCCACATAACTTACAAGCTTACTTACCAATTTCTATGCCAGGGGAGTACACAGCACACAATAAGGCAAACCAGTGAAATTTAAAACAATTTATAAAATACTGTTATTTAATTCCTGTTCTCTACAACCTCCATATTCTTTCCAAAAATAAAATGAAGAGATGAGATTTCTGAGAAGTTCACAATGGATAGTTCTGGAAACAAACTTCACCTGGGATCTGTAAAGCAGTGCAAATGCCAGCACAACAGTTGGATTCGAAACCAGTCTTCCATTAAAAAAAAAAAAAGCAAATACAGATACTGTAAGCTACATCAAAATAGCTGCAGTTCACATTGCATGACTGGCCTGATTTGCTATTTTCTTTCATGACTTGTAAAATACCAGAGTAAGAAACAGCACAAAGGCTTTTTCTTAATAAATTTTAATATTAAGACCAATTTGTCTGGATAAAAACAGTTACAAGTACCACACTCCTGCAAATTCTGCATGATGCACAGTAGTGCTTGCAACATTTGAGTGGCAAGACCATTTTGCAACTGTTTGTGAAAGGTATGTCAAAAACAGAATCTTGGCATAAGTAAGAATGTATGTTACCAGTGAATTTAT